CCACCTCCCAGATGCTGCACTGAAGTTGAAGGTGACAACCGGCAGGGCTGGAATGCATCCTGCAGAGCTCCCTGGGCCCCTGTGGGATGTCAGTGAGGACCCTGGGCTCTCTTCTAGGTGATAAAGGAGGGGACTCCATGTCCCCTCAACTGAGCTCCAGTCCCAGACCGGCCCAGCCCCTGGCCAAATTCTCCAAGTTAACAAGTTCAGGGCCTGGTGATTAACTAGATTCACAAAGTTGATGAAAAAACTGGGATATAAATAAATATTCCTGGAGATATTCCACCCCCTGCAGGCATGAACTTTGAATAATTGGAGAGAATTATGCTGAGGACTAATCAAAACTTTTTTTTTTTTCTTTTGCTAATTACCTCTGGGTTTCATCAGTGTCAGAGCCTAATCAACTCCAGACATCTTAATTGACCCTCGGGAAATGCTAGGAACGGGGAGGGCTTTGGTGTCATAGGGAAGGGGGCTGGGAGCTGGGGAGCCAGGGTCCTGGGTCCAGAGCCACCCTGGTCTGGGGAGGGGTCTGGGGCCGGGAGGGTGAGGAGTCGGCTGGGCCACAAGCCGCCTCTGATCAAGAGAAATGAAGCCCCCTGCCTGGGCCTTAGGTCCTGGGGCTTCTCCCTCACTCACTACCCAGCTCCGGTTTACTGGGTAGATGGATGGGCCCAGGTGGGGTCTGGATGGAGCTGGGGGAAGCTCAGGACTCTCAGCGGGGGCGTCGTGGGAGGTTGAAGGAGGACTTGGTCTTTCTCCGGGAGGAGATCACTTACAAGGGATGAAAAATTCCTCTTGCAACAACTGCAGAACCTGAGAAGAGAGGCCTCAGGAGGTAGAGTCCTGGGAAGGGGGTGGCTTGGGGGAGGTAGGAATGGGGACCCTGGATGAGCAGGGGGTCCCAAGAAGCCAGGCCAGGGCTTCCTAGGGAGGGAGGGGGGTGAGACCGGGTAGACAGGCTGGGGTGTCGGGGTCCGGGGAGTGTCTCTGTGCCTCTCCTCCTGTCTGCCCGTCCTCGGTCTCTCCGATTCTTGCCTGCCTTTCTGTCTCTCTCATCACTTCGTCATCTCCCCATCTGTCCCCACCTTCCAGCCTTACTCTGTCCCCATCTGCTCCCTTGGGGTCTCAAGGGAGGACGCCGAGCAGAACAGTCTGGGCTCCCGCGGGCACACAGCTGGGCGGTGGGGGGGAGCTGGGAAGTCCTCAGCGGCCAAGGCCAGGACGGGTCTGGCCGGTGCCTGGCTGCCTGCCCGTCATGCTGCTGGCTGGGCAGGTGGTCACTACGGTCACCCCTCAGGGAGGGAGTGGCCCAGCCACCTCTTCACACCAAGGAACCTGGTGTTCTGGCTACTACCTCCATTTCCGGAGGTCCAAGAGGTGGCGTCACGGGGGTTTTCTGCAAATGGGTCCCAGTGCCCCCAGCCCTGGCCAGCTCTGCCCTTCCTGTCACCCCTCCACCCTGACCTGGAAGCTGTTTATTTCCTGACCACAGTCAGGGTGTCCGCCATTGATATCAGGGCTGAAGGGGACCTTGAGGGATTCTTGGGGCCTTTTCTTTTGCTTTGTATGGGTCAAGGGCCAGTGTCCCTGTAAGTCTCAGGAGTGTACCCAGCTGACGTGGCATGCCCCTATCAGCCATGGGCATACTGGGGCCCACTTGGCACCGGGCATTGGCACCCTTCACCCTGGGCTGGATGGCTGAGGTGGGGGACTTCCTGGGGCCCGTCGGCTAAGGAGGGACAGACGTGACTGATTCCCTGCCCCCATCCAGGGAGAGGGGGTGCTGTGATGACCGTGGGGACATGCCAGGAGAAGCCCAAGATGCTGCCTCTTCTCCTTCCTCTGGGAGGGAGCCCTCATTTAGGGGGTCCAGGGTGTGTCCAACAGGGTGGCCACCTTCAGCCAGGACTGCCAGAAGCCCCACCTCCAGGCAGAGGGCCCCCAACCCTGTGGAGGCCCAGGCTCCAGCCCCCAGGCCCGGCCAACGGGGCCTCCTTGGCCATGACAGGAACCATCCATCACTGCCCCATGAGGGATTATCTGTCCCTCCTCTGCCCGCAGCTCTTGCTCCTGCAGTCGGGGGACAATGTTTATCACCCACACACCAGTGCCAGCCCCCCCAGCGCCCGCCCTCCCGTGCTATGGCCTTCAGTAGGTGGCAGGACATTTTGGGGGGGCTATTTTCATGATTTTAATTTTCTATTTCCCCACCCCTTCCCTTCCCCCTTATGACATTCTGGGCTTTTTTGGGCTCTAGAATGAGCATACATTTTCCTAGTGATATATTTTTTTTAATAAAAACCATCATTTACGATTATTTTTCCTCTGCACACTCTGTCAGCCTCCTCATTTGATTTCTTATCAACACGGCTTCCCTTCTGGCTCGTCCCCGACACAGATGGGGTTGGTGCCTCTGCTTGAGACTGCTCTGGAACCATAGACCTCCCCCCGCCATCTCAGGATCCTCCCTGTCCCATCTCCGCCAGCCCTGATGCCTTCGGTCCAGACAGCCCACCGTCTTCTGGGCTTTCTGTCTTTGCCTTCAGGTGAGTCTCACCTGTCCATCTCTCTTGGCACACTTTACCTGCAAAATCTGGACAGCCCCTTCATCTCCAAGCCTCAGTTTTATCATCGTTAAATAGAAACAAATTTAGCATTATGGATCTTTCTTTCACTCAGTGAATACTACCTGGAGGCCTAATATGTGCCAGGAATAGGGTTCTCCTTTTGTCCCAGGGTAGAACCTGCTCAGATGTGACGGTATCTACCTGCATGCCCACTATTAATAGAATGGAACCTTAGGCTTTTTCGTGATTTTACTGTGCGACCTTGGGCAAGTCACTGACCCTCTCTGATCCCTGCTCTTTTCATTTCTGTGAAAGAAAAGGCGTGGGCACTGGGTAGCTCCATTCCTGGCTCAATCTTGCCTTCCCCATTAGCCCCCAGGTGATGCTTGTTCTGAGCAGCTGCAGCCAGGCCCAGCTCCTCCATGGCTGCCTGCCAGTTACCAGGAGAAGCCAGGCCGGCTGGAGGATCTTTCCTCAGCCTGCCATGCCCAGGTGTCTGGCCAGCTGGGCTCTGGAGCCCTCAGCCAGGTCAGGGAGAACCCACCTGTCCTCTCACTCTGGCCCAGCTCTTGCTGGCCCCCGGTCCTCAGCAAGCCTTAGAGAAGGGCCCTGCGGGGTTGGCTGGGCCGGCGGGCTCCGAAGCCCAAGGCCACTGCTAGGTTCTGGCCTTAAAGTTGGTTCAGGAGGGAGTGATCTGTCCTCCCTCGCAGCCCAGCCTCTCCCTATCAGTGGTAGAAGAGGTTACCATGAATATTCATATTTTTTTCATGAATATTCACGACACTAATGATGCTACCCTCTCTATCCTCTTGCCCTTGGGCACCTCCATGGCTTGCTAGTCCCCTGCACCCACCTGTCTCTGTCGCCGATGTGTGTGAGCCAGCAGGGCAGCTCTGTCCAAGGAGACCCCCACCCCAGGTATCTGGTGATCCCCGACCAAGGGCTCAGCAGACCCAGGCTCTGGTCTGTGCTCCACTTCCTGTGTAAGGACCGGCCCTGCCCTGACCTCAGTTTCCCTTCTGACCTCCATGGGCCCTTTGGGTCCAGGGAGGGCTCAGGCCGTCTGGGTGTTCCAGGAACAAAAACATCTCTGATTCCACTTTCCAGGTGCTCCATTGTGCTGGGGACAAAGCTGGGAAGCTTGGGTTCCCCGGAGGGATGCCAGGCCAGACTTCAGGTTACGCAGGATGAGTAACCGGAGAGGCCTACGGCCAGGTGTCTCTTCTGCACTCCCGATCCATGGCCTGGAATAGCTCAGCCAGCCATCGCCTGGGACAGACAAGGCCAAGGTGGGCCAGGAGCTCACAGGGTGGGGCAGAGGGGCTCCAGGTGCATCAGAGAGTAGATCAGATGGGGGAGCCCTGAGTCAGGGGACCTTCACCTTCAGGATCAAGATGAGCCAAGACCTTAGTGCTCTGCTGCTCATGCCTGTGTGACCTTGGGCAGGCCCCTCAGCTCTGTGGCTCAGTGTCCCTCTCTGTGGATGCTCCCCTGCCACATTCAAGGTCCAACCATCTCTTGGTGAGTGTGGCTGCTCTGTGGTCAGGAGCCCTGATCTGAGGACATTTGGCTCTTTGTCCAGAGGGACCCCAGGTCGGGGAGCAGGGACACAAACACAGAGCCAGAAGCCAAGACCTGCTGCTGACCCCAGAACCACTCAAGAGCATCCCTCTGCTGGGTCCAGACCCTCATTCCTCTTCTGCCCTCTAGAAACCCTCTGTCCCAAGTCTCATCTTGCTCCTGTGACTTACAAGCCTGTAAGCCCTGGGCTTTCTGAGTCCTAGTCCTGTGTCCCCACATGATGGACCTTCCTTCAGGGGAAGGGGAGGCCCTTGAGCTGCAGGCCTTGTCCAACAGGAGAGGTCAAGGAGAACAAGCCCTGCCCAGCACCTTCTGGAGAGTTCCAGGACACCTGGGCCTCTTGGCGTGCCTTTCCAGGATGCCTTTCCTGTGCAGACCTCTGTGGGCTGCGAGCTTGGCCCAGTGTGAACCAGGGCTCCTGTCTCTGTGCTAGCACACTAAAGGCCCTGATAAGTCCTGACTTCTTGCCCTGCCTTCCCCAGCCGACAGTAACTCTCCTTGAGGGCTCAACTCTGACCTTGCCAGTGTGGGACATAGAGGTTCAGAGTGGTTCAGTGTTTGCCCAAGGTCACATAAGGAGTGAAGAGAGGAACCAGGGCCAGGCCCATCTCATTCCAGGGTGGAGGACGGATGGAGGGCCCTCGCACTGTGGCCCTTCCCACCAGCTCAGCCTGCAGAAGCTCCGTGGCCGAGACCCAGCCTCCTCCGAGCCAATTGCCTAAACGCGTTCAACCTCCTCTTCCCATGGGACTGGCGCAGCTACTGCCAACATCTGTGGGGACAACGGCAGAGGAATGCCTAATGAGGGCTCGACGTGGCCCTGCCACGGAGCGCAGGCTGGGACAGATGGTCTATCATTACCCATTTTTATTAATTACTGGCTCCCCGTGCAGCGATTGGCTCCCGAGCTCAGTCTTGTCGGACGTGCTGAGGTCCCAGCTCTTTTGGAAGAGAGAAACGGTCCTTCCTGTAGTGCGACGTGCCTTCCCTCCCAGCTCCCTTTGAGGCCACAGGCATTTTTGGCTTGGTGAGGTCCCAAGGGGACCAGGCTAGGCTAGAAACAGCTGCTACTGCCCGAGAAGCCAGGGCAGAGGGGCTGGTGCGAGGATACGTGATCCGTCCTGGGGATCCGCAGATGAGGCTCCCAGCTCAGCTCCACCTTCAGCTTGCAGAGACCTGGGTCAGTCCTTCTCCCATCTCAGGCTTCACATTCCCATCTGCAAAGGGGGACAGCCCCTCATCCAGTGCCCCCATGGTCAACAGAGCTGCCGCCTAATCCTGCTGCCACGGTTTTAGTGCCCAGACTGCAGGTGCTGCTTGTGGCAGGTCCCCTGTGGTCTCTGCACCCCCCCCACCCCGAAATGGTGTCTTACCTGCCCTCCAGGAAAGCAATAGAGTTTGCATTAGGGTGAGAGGGGCCCAGCTGGTGAAAGTGGGGGGCCTGCTGCTGCTGGAGGACCAGGACACCCCAAGAAGTCTCCAGGGCCTGAAGGCTGAGGGCCAGGAGACTGGGTTCCGTGTCCCCACCAGCCAGCACAGCGAGGGCCTGGCTTCAGCAGGCAATCTGTTAGCCAGGGAGATAGTGGAGTTTGAAGCACAAGATCCCCAGTCAATAAAAAGAGGCTTGGAGACTTTTTATGTATCAAATTTGTCACATGGGACAGGCGTTTTATCTGCTGGCCACTTGATGGCTTGTCATAAAGCAGGGACTTGCTGGAGTCCCGGGTGTAGCGATCTTGGGCTGGCTGTGCCAAGCCAGCTAGAGATGGCCGGCTTCTGCAAAGGGAGCACCCGGCACAGGACCCTGTGGACCAGCTTCACCCCCCGCTGTGGTCCCAGAGCCCCCAGCGTGGAGACAGGAAGCCCTCACCTCTGTCAGTCTGCTCAGCTGCCGTAGCAAAGTGCCACAGACCGGGTGACTTAAACCACAGCAGTGTACTGTCTCCTGGTCCTGCAGGCTGAGAGAGACCACGGTGGGCAGGGCCGGCTCCCGCGGCCGCCCTCCTTGGCTTGTAGCCTCCTCTCTGGGTGGCTTCACAGTGTCATCCCTCTATGTGTCTGTCTCCTGACCTCTTTTATAAGAGCCCCAGCCGGATTGGACTAGGGCCACCCTAGTGACCTCGTTTCACCTTAATCCCCTCTCTGAATGCCCTTCTCCAAGTGCACTCACCTTCTGAGGTGCTGGGGATCAGCCATCAGCACGGGAACTTGCAGGGGACCCAGGTAAGGCCATCACCCTGTCCTCTCCCCAGGAAGTCCTCTTCCAGGGCCACCCTCATCACCTACTGAGTGACTCAGGGAAGATTCCTCCCATCTCCCAGCCCCCTTGACCTTCAAAAACTGTAAGGACCTTCAGTGACGGTCAAGGTCATTTATATGCAAACTGCACAACCACAGAGCAGGAGCCTTATGGGTGAGAAAAAGGAATATAATGGCCCAGCTGGCTGAGCAAGTGCTGAGCAGAGCCGGGCCAGGACGAGGCTCGCAGGCCTCCGACTGGATGCTGATACGTGGGCTTGGACCCCAGCCCTGCCACTGACTGGTTGCATGACCAATGAGAGGTCCCTGGCTTCAGCTTTCTTCTCTGGTAAGTGGGGGATAATCCTAAACCCTACCCCTAGGATCTGGGAAGGGAATAAGTAAATGACATAAGCCTCGTGCCCCTGGCCGTGCTGTGTGGGCTGAAGAAGTGTGTGTGGGGGGTGGCTTTAAGGAGGGGGTGGAGCTGGTGGGAAGGAGCCTCATCCCTAGAGCAGCATTGATTCCATGAGCAGCGAAGGAATGTTAGGGTTTGGCCCAACGGGGACACTTGAGAGACACCCCAGCAGAGTGACACTGATGGCTGAGAGCCATCAGGGATGGACCATGTTGTCTTGCCTTGGTGGACATGTGGGAAACAGGAATGCGCTCCCTGACATTGGAGGGAATCAAGCACATCCTGGTACCCACTGGGGGAGGAGGCTGGAGAGTGGGAGGAGCAGAAAGGCCAGCACTGTGGAGAGGGGCTTTATTTTTGCCAAAGGCAATGGAAGGGTACAGAGTCTTGGAGGGAAGCGGAGGTGGAGATGACCTCAGGGTGCAGGGATGGACCCCTCCACACATGGTGGCCGTTCCATCTCCTAATTTGTGCTTTCATGGAGGCCGAAGGGCTGGGCAGCGTTGAAGGTCAGGTTGTAGGTATAGGCTCCACCCAAAAGCAGCCCCAGAGGAAGAGAATTTTCTAGAACTGGCTCTGCTCTGCAGGGCAACCATGCGGACCCCAGTGTGGCTGTCAGGGTCCGTGTGTCTGGAGCTGGGCTGATAGGGTGCTGTGGGTGTTGGCTACCATTCTGACTCTCGTTCACAAGCCTCTGACCAGTGGGGTCATGGCCGACCTGGAAGGCGGGAGACACTGGCTTCCCTCCACGGGGAGCACAGACCAAGGCTCTGGGCAGAGTGCAGCCTGGCCGGGATCCACCACGAGGGGCCTTGGGGTGAGTGGCCAGTCTATTGAGAGACAGTGAAGAGGCGTCTAGGGAGGAAGGGGGAGGCAAAGCGAGGTGGGTCTAGCAGGCTGGCAGGGACAGGGACAAGCCGGGGAATGTCAGGACCTTGGTTCGTCACCACCAAGGCCCTTGCTCCTGGACCCACCTGCCCATCCATCCTCCAGACTGCTCAGCCCCCGTAAGGTAAGTGCAACCCTGTGACTCCAGTGTGGAATGAAACAGGCCTCCTGCAGGGTGCTCCTCCACAGGGAACCCCATAAGCCATTGAGGAGTGGCGGGCAGGCCCAGTAGAGGTGTCAGCGTGAGCTAAGGCCTGGTGGGCACGCTGGAACACCCCTGGGGCAAAGTGTCAGCTGGGGTGCTGGCCGGAGGTAATTCCACAGAGAACAGAGGCCTGCCCAGGAAGATGGCTTCTTCTACAAGGAGATGTGGGATTTGGGAAGTCTCCCTCAGCCAGAGCATAAGGGAAGCTTGGTCAGTATGGGCAAGAGTGGACGCTCAGAGGCTCTTCCATGCTCGGGGAGATGGGTCCAGGTGACCGACATCCCAGGCACCCTGGCTGCCCCCCTCAGGCATGGCTGGACCTATGTGTCTTATGTCTCCAAGGGTGTGGGGTCTCAGAGACCCACAGGCCCCTCTCAGACACTGTGCAATGTCCAGCTCCCTAGGGAGAGGCCCTCCCCTGGAGGTGGGAATAGTGTGCCCAGGGGCCTGGGGGTATGCAAGGACTGTGTTTGGAGAACTCACGTTTCCAAATGCCAAATTTACTCTGAGCATCCAGAGGGAGTTCAGTTCTTGTGCTCAGTCCAGGCGAGGACAATGGCTCTGCAGATGGGGGAAGGCGGCAGGTTAGGGACACATGCAGGGGCAAGATGGATGGACCTCGGGGACCATTCACTGCCAAGGCGGAGGAGGAGCAAGTCCAGCTTCCAGAGAACAGAGGGACTTGGAGGGGAGGAAGAGGGATGGTGGCACTGAGGGGCCCTTGTAGCCTCTGAGGACTGAAAAGGGGGCCTGAGCCCTGAGTCCTGCTCTGGGGGGTGGGAGGGAAGGTGGGGGGAGTGTCAGAACAGTCAGGATTTTTCCTGGAACTTGACTCGCAGAGCTTCTGCAGGCAATAAAAATTCTCAAGACAAGGCCCAAATCACATGCTGCCCCCCCCTCCCACAGGAGGCCAGGAGATGGCCGGGGTTGCCCAGAGTCGGCTTGCCTCCTCCTGAGCATGCGCGGCTCCCGCCTGCTGTGACTATCAGTCCCTGCCTGGGAGATCCTGGGCCAAGGGCTGGAATTGCCGAGCCTCAACTGCCCGAATGAAAGGTGGCAGAAGTCACCAGGATGTGGGTTGTCATGGGCTCAGTAGAGTCCCTGAAAGGATATGTGGGTGTCCTAACCCCCTTTGGAATGTGACCTTATCTGGAAACAGGGTCTTTAAAGGAGAGCAGGGTAAAATGGCATCATTGGTACGGCCAACTTGACTGTCCTTAGGACAGGGGGAAATTGGGACCCAGGAGAACATGTTCAGAGAGAGTGTCGTGACGAGTCTCAAAGCCGCAGAACGGGAACACGGGAGATTGCGTGTGTGGGTGGGGAGGGGGCGGAAGGTAGAAGCCCCTTGAGAGCCATCAGAGAGAAGGTGGCCCTGATTTTGGCTTCAGGCCCTCAGACTGTGAATGAGTAAAGGTCTGTGGTTTTAAGTGACCCAGTGTGTGGCTCTTCCTGACTGTCACCCCAGGACACGGAATCAGGGTTAGGTGTGGCTCACCTGGGAAGTGCTCTGAGGCTGTGAGCTCCTGGTGGTGACCCATCAGCCTCACCTGCACCTGTCCCCCTTCCTTCCCGAGCCCTGTGCCTGGGCACGGAGGGACTCATGGCCTCTCCAGCCTCAGGAGCTCCACGTATTGCTGATAACTAAACGTGGAGTGCAAGAGGGTGCCCATGAGCAGGAGTGCCCACACACACACACACACACACGTGGGTATGTATGCAGACACACACATGTGAACACGTGTGCAGACACATAGGCATACATGCATTTTAACCTGTACACGTTTTTGGATACAGGTTCAGATTAGCAGCCCCCTGGAGAGACCCAGCCAGACCTCTGCCTGCCTCCTGGGGTTCGGGGCCTTTGCCCAGCGCTTGGCTACAGCGAGCTAGACCTGTAGCAATTTGTCCCTCTCAGCTCTGGGAGAGAACCAGAGGGTTGGGAAATGGGGCCCAACTGGAGCCAGGGACCCCAGTGCATAGAAGCTATTACTGACGGCACATCTTTGGGGAAAATCATGCCCGCAGCTCAGCTCCAAAGTGCCTACTGTGGTACCTACTGTGTGCAGGAGTGACATGGTGACCAAACCAGCCTGATCCCCAAGGGGCTCACAGCAAGAAGCCAGGGAAAGGAACCTCCTGTAGCTCTGCCATCATAAGGGGCAGGAGGGGCACACTGAGTTCAAGGCCACACCCACAGGTGGCCACTGTCAGTGTGTCCACCCTGAAACCCCTGGAAAGACCCAGGGACCCATGGGCCATGTGGCTGAGCACCCTCCTCTACTTGCTCGCTGTTCCCAGACATCTCCCTCCAAGTGAAATGTCCTCATGGTTGATACTATTTTTTTTAAAGAAATAAAATACCTCTGGACACTGTCCACTTTAAAGCTTGCAAAATGTCATTTTTGTTATCTTCTCATTAAGCCCCATTTTAGTCAGAATCAAGCAGAATGAATCACAGGGGAACAGGCCTGGGCTCTGGGCCATTTGCCTTTGATACTGAGGAAAGCACCCCCAGCCTTCAAAACACAGGGGTGGAAAGGGGGTGCCCACCTGGTCTCCTGTCCACTCCACCCAGTAGGGCCAGGCAAGGGCCCCTGGGCTCCTGGACAACCAGAGACAAAATGGATGCAGCACAGGGCTGGAATCTTGTCTGTCCATCTGTCCTTCCATCTCTTTTTCCTCCCACCATCATGTAGCCAGCAAACATTGGCTGGACAGAGATGGTGGCCCTGGTTCTTGGAGGCCTTCACAGGTGTTGGTGGTCACTGGTATCTGCAGTGTATGTAGAGAGTGGTTGATGGACACTTGAACTCAGAAATGTGGTGGAGAAGTACAGCAGACCTGGGATGCAGGCAGCAGGTGTCTGGGTCCTTGCTATAAAATGATCCCAACCATCCCTTAGTGGACAGGGTGGCCTTGGGAAAGTTCCCCAGCCCCCTGGTGCCTCGGTCTCCTCACTGTGCAAAAGGACGTCAATGGAACCAACTCCCATGACTGGGATGAATAAATGCATGTTGGGTACCTACAGCAGTTCCTGGCACACAGTAGGTGCAAAAATGGATGTGTACTTTGTTCATAGTATTTCACAGCTCCAAGTATGGGGGCTACTTATGTGCCTCATCTACTCAGAGATGCCCAGGGACGATCCAGAGTTTGCAATGCACATTGTGTTCAAGAACCCCACAG